AAAAAAAAAAAAAAAAAAAAAAAAAAAAAAAAGGAAAATGGTGACAACGATCATTGATCTGAGGCGTCGGATGGCTGTGACAGAAAAAAAAAAAAACAAAAAAAAAACGCTCAAGTGTAGTGACTGTTCTGATCGTGGTCCATCAAAAAAAAAAAAAAAAAAACCGAGAAAAAGAGAGCGCTCAATTATCTGACGCTGCCACGTCATTATCTATAAGCTCAGGTCGTTGTCGCCACGTCATCCTACCGTCTTCACCCGAATACGACCTACCCCTTCATTATTGTTGTATCTAGACTCAAAGTTGGCCCAAATACAGGTACAAAATAACCGCACGTTGTATTCGGGTGAAGAAGGTAATTCTCTGAACCGATGTCATCGAGACTGATGGCCCTTAAAAAAAAAAAAAAAAAAAAAAAAACCCTCTTCCGACCTGTGTTCCTCTTGCCCAGACTGGTTTCTTCCCCTGCCCGAATAGAACGCTGAACGCTGTATTTGGGGCAATTTTCAGTCCAGATGCAGCGGAAATGACCACTACTGTCTTGCGCCGCCCGAATAGAACGTACATACGCTGCATTTGGGGCAATTTTCAGTCCAGATGCAGCGGAAATGACCACTACTGTCTTGCCCCGCCCGAATAGAACGTACGTACGCTGCATTTGGGGCAAATTTTCAGTCCAGATGCAGCGGAAACGACCACTACTGTCTTCCCCTGCCCGAATAGAACGTACGTACGCTGTATTTGAGGCAGTTTTCAGTCCGAATGCAGCGAAAATGAGCAGTATTTTTGTCTTGCCCTGTCCGAATAGAACGTACGTATATGGGGCAGTTTCCAGTCCAGATGCAGCGAAAATGACCGTGAGTCTATTCGGGAGCAGAAGGTAATGGACATGCTTTGTATGTGGCCTACCTTCCTATCTATAACAAAAATAAGAAAAGTTGAAAAAAAAAAAAAGAAAAAGAAAAGAAAGTGAAAAGCGTGTTCACAGGCACTTGGGCGATTGCTTGTGTCACTACCCTATTCCTCTTTTTCTTTTTGTTTTCCTTTTTTTTTTTTTTTTTTGATCGTGTCATCCTCTTGCGCAGCAAGCCATTGGATTGGATTGGAAAGAGCGAAGGCTAATCACAGCGTCGACTGAGATCAGCGGCACGCGACACATAAGCAAGTTGCTGAAAAATACAACCCGCCAGAATATGTGAAAATTCGGAAATTACTCAGAAGTTACTCTTCTGCAACACCAAGAGTATCTCTTCGAAAGATCTGCAACAAAGCTCAAGAGGAAGCCATAGCCAGGCTAACCCTGGTGATGGCTGTCTGGCTTCCCTCGACCGGTTTCGGCTAGAGCCAGTTCTAGCCTCATCAGGAGGGGTAAGTATCCGAGGTAGGAGAAAGGAAAAGCCCTCTCTCTTAAATAGTAGCAAATGCTGCTAATCAATCGTCTCTGTATCGTTACCAATTCAACGGCTGTGATGTCCCAAGGATTATTCTGTTCCTCTTTCCCCACACCATTTCGCGCCTTTGGTTCTGTTTCCCACAGACATCCTCTCTCTCTCTCTCTCTCTCTCTCTCTCTCTCTCTCTCTCTCTCTCTCTCTCTCTCTCTCT